TAGTGTGATGGCAAACCATGCTGAAACTTGATAACAGACAAAACTACCCATTAAGAAGTGGTCAAGAGCAGCTTTTCAACTTGAGTGATCAATTCTGGATCCATTTAAGTGTGAATCTGAGGAGGTTATGTTCATCCAACGAAAATGGAGAGAGAGCATCTGCATGTTAAGGGATACCTGAGAGGTCATATATGGAGACAATGGTTCTCACCCCTTTGTTGCAGCCTTCCAGAACAAGTGCCTTCAGGTTCAGCCTGCCTGTGGGGAGCCTGTGCATTAGCTCCTTGCTAAAACCAGAGATGCATGGTCCAATTTCATGTAGTGCATCTGCAGGGTTGGGCAGCGTCCTGTCCCAGGGCCAGGCAGGAGCTGCTGTCACGGGTGAGGGGTGGGTGAGTCTGTCCTGCCACACAGCTCTCACAACCTGCTGAATGGGACAGGAGCCCCCCAGTCATACCATATGAGCAGGAATTTGCTTGTGCAACTCCCTCCTTTCCTTTCTGTCCTTTTGCCCATCCATCCCCCTTTCCCTGAGAAGATGATTTCTGGTGCTTTTTATTCTCTTCAGTATCAGAAAGTGCTGTAAAGGATTATGTAGACTAATTGTTAGAGAATATCAGTGAATGAATGAATGAATGACTAAATGAATGACTGAAAACTGCTGTTTTCATTTTACTTGAATTCCGTTCAAGGCAGCATCAAATGCTGTTTTCTTCCTCATTCATTCCTAGGGGATATTTTGCTGTTGTGTGTGTGCTGGGCACTCGATTGTAAGCATTGCTGTAGAAACCTGTGTGAAACGTGGAGGGAGGGAGGGAGGGAGGGAGGGATGGCTGTGGAGAGAAGAAAGCTTGGAAATGTGTGCATGTGGCTTGAAAGCGCACAGTGAATGCAACTCTTAAGGTGAATAGATGCCTTAATAAGGAGTTAGTTTGTTTTTTTTTTTCTTCAGTAGAGTGTTTCCTTGTACTTTTCTGGCACTTAGTGCAAGAAACGTTCCCCCCTTCTGGAATCATGAGAAGTGATGTCAAAAATTACTCTGGTCTAAAACTCTCTGAAGTAATGGCAGGTAATTTTGAATTATTTAGTTTTTTCTTATGAAAATAACAGAGTGGTGGGATAACTGCACCCACATATTACCAAGTATTGAAAATACCAAGAAAAAATTCAGTAATTTAATAAAAGTATGATAATAGGAATGTCTATCTCCTATTGGCCTTTTTAACCACCAACGCGCTTGCAACAAACGTGGGTAGAGCCCTTCCCAAATCTTCATTCATGAAGCCCAGCCATGATGATGATGATGATGATGATGAATAGGAAAGAAGGATGCATTTCAGTTCTGATTGATTTTCACTACATCCCTTTCAATCACAGAAAATTGTATTGTTTTTGTTCTACAAATATTATCAAGATAATTCACTTCCCCTTTTCAACTTATTACAGGGCTTTCATGGAGTGGATTTTTAATTAAAAAATAAAAGGCAAGACTCAACCTTTTTTTATTTGGACCACTCAGTTTGCATTTCAGTCTTTTTTATGGATGCCTTATTGAGCCCTTAGTTGCATGTCATTTACAGCTTCTGCATCTACTCTTTGACGTGGTTTGAAATGAGTGGAGCTGTCTCATTCAAATTCGGTAGACTTTTCCATCTAAAAATTCCCACACACCTTTTTCTGCAATCCGGTTTTACAGGAGAAGAGAAATAATGCTTGCAACAACAGAGGCAGTATTCATGAAAAAATGAAACCAGGCACTGATTGCAGGAGATAGAGCCCACAACAAGCCACTCTAAGTTATATGGTTCTCACTGATTTAATTCCCAAAGGAGGAAAGAACTCGCAATTAAACTGCATGAAAATTGGAGGTTCTGTGTTGTATGTGGTCTCAAAGTTATGTAGCAACATTTACCTCCCTGCTGAGTTTTCACTTCCAAGCAGTTTAGCTGTATATGTGTGTCTAGTTTATTGCTTATTTTATTTTTCCTTGCCTTTTTTACTTTCCCCAACCTTATTCCCCAGTATGTTATTTCTGGTAGCAGGATGCAGGGTTTGGATGAACGACTCCACAGGGGTTCTCCTGCTCAGTATTCTGCAGGGGTTCTCCTCAAAACCCTTTAGAGCCCGCTGGCAGCGAGCAGGCACAGCTGACATGTGACCTCATGACAGCTTTCCTCTGGCACTGCACAACACCCTCTGGAATATCGTTACTAATTCTTATTTGTTAAATTCTGACACTGTGCCAGACAGAAATACCAAGTCAGTTCTGGTTTCAGAGAGCCATAGTTCAGAGAGACGTAAAAGGGTAAATATGTAAAAGGGGAGACTGAAGAGGGAAAAGAAATTTATATGTAGTTGTAATGTGTATGTTTAATGCATAAACATGCTGTCAGAGTCCCCTGACCACACAATCAAACTTCCAAACAGATTTATAGCAGGTGTCTTACAGTAGATTTAGCCTTTGTACCTGAATAAAGATGTTAATAATCAAGAGGAATGATACTGGATGAGAAGGAGCTTAACAGGAATAAGACCGCACTTTGATGAGCTGGCAAGTGCTCTCCTAATAAGTTCAAATCAACTGACTACAACAGCACAGTTTTCATCTTGTTTAAATGGTGGTGATCCTCCTGTGTCTGCTGGGGCTACTTTCATTTACATGACACCAAAAGCTGATGTCTTGGGATTTTACAAATCTTTCATTTGAATTTTAATAAGCCTACATTACCTTATTTCCCTTCAGAAATTACTACAAACTCTGTTTATAGTTCTGCAATATATATTTATCATTTTCTATGCAAACTAATGTGATGAACACTATTAATCCTTTATAAAAATAGAAGTGTTTGCCGCATTTTGTTTTAAATAGTTTATCCTGTCCACTTTTCTGCTACCTCTACATTTGCTCCATTTATTTTCTTCCTACTCCCGTTATCAGGGAGTTTCTCACTGCCTTGCAGAAACATGCTAAGTAGCTTGACAAATGTTTGTCATATGCAGTTCATTCTTTTTCTCCCTTCTCCAAGTGCGAAATTGTTTATCCAACGGTGTTGTACTTTTAAGGGGGTTTTGTAAATTATGTGTGCACTATATATATGCTATAAAATACTGTGTTAACAAAATCAAAGAGTTTCTGTTGCACTTGGGAAAAAACAAGACGGTGAGGTTTTTAGCTCCCACAGAAAATTGTTCTGATCTGAAAACTGTCTTCTGCACAGCTGAGCTTTATTCAGTTGTGATAAACTCTTTTTCTGTCTGTAGCTATAGCAGCCTTGTTATAGAAGGAGATCATTAGATTTCTTGGGTAAAAGAAATAGCACATGGAAGCTGAGATGGCATTTGTCACTGTAGAAGCAAAGATCACTATCATTCTTGGCTTAGAGTTCCTTGCCAGTTGATTGCTTCGATTGCTCTGTTGTAGACCAGCTGGCAAGAAACAAATTTGGGTCATCATTTGGGAAGAAAAGAAGACATCAATATACATGATTTTTTCTTCTATCTCTAATCATGTCAAATGCCTACACGATTCATTCCATTGTCCGTTACTTTCAAAGTTCCGTATGTGCTTAGGAGATTATTATTTGTATGACTATCACTTCTGTTTTCCTAATATTGAGAATATTTGTTTGATGTATGTAAGATTTGTAGTTTTATGTCCCGTTCTTCATGGAACATAAGCAAAATCTTTAGGAAAGCTGCAAGATTCCATTTCTATAGTATCAAAATTTCTGTCATTTTTCTCATTCTCTTGGTAAATTATGGTGAGATTTCTTTATTTCTTGTGTTACAAGTACTGATTTTATTCATCATCCATTTTTTTTCCATAGTTCTTCATTGTGAATGCATTCAGGCCATGGAGTGAAGTAAAAGAAAAAAAAAAAAAGTCAGTTTACATTTAGCAAGCAGAGGAGAATTTACATTAACTCATTTCTACATTGGAATTTGTTGATTAATTTTTGCATTTGTTTGAGATTTTACCTTTTGATCTGTAGGGGAGGGACCACTGTGAATGTGTTGTGCCTCATGCCAGTAATTCATGCAGAATGAATGGACTGTGATGGATGGTTTTGTTTCAACAATTGAAGTAAACAGATGAAAATTTTTACCTTGAAACCTAATAAGAGATGATGAATGAGAATTTCTGCTGAAAAAGAAGTAAGGTGTATTTTTCTAGGGCATACCGTAGTTCTGACAAATCCCTGGAAATACGATGAAAAGCAGTCAAGCACCATGAAAATACATACTTTTCCAAACAGAGAAAGTGAGGCACTCAGTGAAACATGACTTCATAGGATCATAGACCATCCTTAGTTGGAAGGGACCCACAAGGGTCGAGTCCCTTGGTCTACAAAGTGATAAGAGCTGGTCTAAGCGAGACCTCCGTTTCTCTTTTGCTCTATTTGTAAGACTAAAAAGAAGGCAGCTCTTTCAAATTTCAAACTTAATTTAGATGGAACAGAAAAGGTGTTGGCATTGTTAGGCTTCCTCTCTTCTGTGGGGAAATGATTATCTAAAATGCAGTTTCAGGCATTGAATTTCTGCTGGTTCCAAGCTGGGACACCATGACATTTTAATTTTAGGCTCTGTTAACCAATACCTTGCAGTTCTCAAATCCATTGAATATTTTGATATATTTGGAGTCTGGCCTAGCTTTGGCAAATTGTTTCCAATTATAATCTCACCACCACAAAACACGAAGGCCAGCATTGTCAGGGTTGCTCCTTGCTAAAGGCACCTGACCATCTTTTTTACTTATCGGAACTGAGTCTTGTATCCCTGAGCTGGAAACCTGTTAATAGAGGTTACAAGAATTTGCACACATTGAATACTCCCACTACAAATGCTATTAAATTAAATAAACACTTGTTAATGAGAGCTAAAAGTAAAATACAGAGAAATATGCCAAATTGCTTGGAGTGATATAAAAGGCTTAGTGCATCCCTACAATATCCCAGGATAGGTGGAATTTACTCAATTAAATCAATAGCCTACAGTCTATGTTTACAAAATGGCAATCTCCTTTTAATGAATCAAATTGTCTTTTTTTTAATCAGCAACCGTAAGACACACTGTGTACAATGAAATTACTTCTTTAGAGTTGTCTCTGTCTTTTTTACTTCCTTCTACTTCCACTTTTTCTCATTTTCCTGTAAATTTGATGAAAGGAATTCTGACTCCTTGCAGCACACGTTGACGAGGAACTGTGAGGCTCAGTCTCTCTTGAAAGGCACTGCAAACTGAAGAACAGAACTTTCACTTCTCCCCTTGGTATTGTTTGATTGCCTGTGCTTTGCCCCAGAACACAGTAAAAACCACTGTTGATGGATTGACCACATTCATTTGCACATATGACATTGTTAACAGCATGTTAAGCAGAGGATGTATTCAGCATGAAGCTCTCTCAATGTATCTGAAATCACCAGCTTTACTGCAGCATTCACAAATGTGTATTCATTAAAAATTTAATAACTCGATGATATAGCTTTAACTGCATGAGTGGTTTAGACATGTACACATGCCTGCCTCCTGAAAGTCAAACCTGGGACACTTCCAGGTGTTCATAGTGATCTGTCCTGCTTCTTTTTTCTGTATTGTTGAATCCAAGGCTGCTGGATTTTTCTAAATCAGCACAGTAGTACATCAGTGTTTTTAAAACTAAGTTTAAGCTTGTGGAGTTCATGAAAATGAGATGTGTCTGAGCTGTTTTGTTGAATAGGGAGAGGTAGACAGAAGAGATGGGCAGGAAGAAGGGTTGCTATTTAGCATCATCTGTACTTCATCTCAGGGTGCACACCTGACTGTCTTAGTGCTGTGATGGATCCCTAGCAAGGTGTTTTTTTGTACAGGTTCAACCAAAGTCAAAAAACAAAAGAGACTCCAAGGCCCTGTGACGATTGGTAGAGGGATCAGGACAATAGGTAGTGATTTCATTGATCCTTCTGGTAACAGGGAATAATAACGATAGGATTAGGCAGATCTATCCAATCAATGCAAAACTCCAAAGTTGCTTGGGTTTTTTGACCATGGGATAATCTACTCAATCCCTGGTCTACTGACACCTGGCGGGATGCACCTATCTCAGAGGGGAAAAAGAGTTCTAGCACGGGAGCTAGCAGGGCCTGTTGATAAAGCTTAAAACTAGCTTGGAATGGAGAAGGGGACGAAACTAGGCTCACCTATGATGAGCGATGGGTTGATGTGCCAAAACTTGAGGAAACGAGCACTAATATGATCCCTCAATCTGCTGCAGATGGTGTTGGCTACAATGTACCCACACCTGAAATGTTTCTGCACCAACGCAGGCAGCATGAGGAACAAAGGAGAAGCTTGAAGCTTTGGCCCAGTCTCTTAGATTTGACATCACTGGCATAAGTGAAACCTGATGAGAAGAGTCCTGTGGCTGAAGTGCCCTGTTAGATGGTTACAGGCTCTTCGGAGGGATAGGCAGGGCAGAAGAGGCAGAGGGGTGGCACTGTACGTAATAGAGGGATTAGAATGTATGGAGCTCACAGTTGGCAATGGCACAGTGGAGAGTCTCTGGGTAAGAATCAAGGGACAAACAAGTAATGTGGATGTCATTGTGGTTGTCTACTATAGACCTCCCAGCCAGGACAACGACACCAATGAATTATTCTTTGAGGAACTAAGTGACACTCCCAAGTCAACTGCCCTTGTCCTTGTGAGGGACTTCAGCTTCCCAGAAATTAACTGTAAGCATCACACACTTGGTATAGCCTGGGCCAGAAGGTTCCTGAAGAAGCTGGATGACAACTTTATGGAACAGGTCCTAAGGGAGCTGACTCCAAAAGATGCCATCCTTGATCTACTGCTTGTCAACAGAGTGGATCTCGTGAGCAAAGTAGAGATTTGCAGCCATCTTGCCACAGTGACCACGAGGCAATTGAGTTTAAAATCTTTTCACAGCAGGAAAAGTACCAGCAAAACCTCAACTCTGGGCATGAGGAGAGCAGACTTCAGGCTGCTCAGGGAATTAGTGAGTAAGGTCCCCTGGGAAAATGTTTTTGCAGGTGCTGGGGCCCATCAGTGCTGGTCACTTTTTAAACATCACCTCCTAAGGGCATGGGAGCAGCAATTCCCAACTTTCAGAAGTCAAGCAGGTGAGGCAGAAGGCTGGCTTGGTTGAGCAGGGATCTTCTCTTCAGAATAAGTCAAAAAAGGAAGGTGAATGCCCAGTGTAAGCAAGGTCAGGTGATGTGGGAAGAATACAAAGATGCTGCTTACCACTGTAGAGAGAAAACCTGTGCAGCCAAAGCTCAACTGGAGTTGAAACTGGCCAGAAATATGGGGGCAGGAAAAAGAGTTTTTCAAATACATGGATGCTGATAGGTAGTATGGAAATACCATCGTCCAGTTGCAGGATGAGGATGCTTACCTCACAAACAGGGACAGAGACAAGGCAGAGGTGTTTGACGCTTACTTTATCTCTGTCTTCAACACAGGTGACAGACCAAGGGAGTTTCAGTGCCCTGAGCTGGAGGACTGTGACTGATAAACTCCCAGTCGATCCTGAAATTGTGCAGGATCTGCTCCTCCAGCCGGATCCCTACAAATCTATAGGGCCTGGTGGGATTCATCCAAGAATCCTCAAAGAGGTGGCTGATGTCATTGCAAAACCTCTCTCAATGGTTTTTGAGTTGTCTTGGGAATCTGGAGAGGTCCCAGCTGACTGGAAGTTGGTGAACATTGTCCCAATTTTCAAGAAGGGCAGGAAGGAGGAGTTGGACTCAATGTGAAAGTAACACTGGATCTTGTGCTAAGTGAGTTTACAGAAACCTGACTTACGTAACGTGCAGGTTAAGAGGGTTGATAGTGATAACTAAATATCACTTTCTGAACATTTCTGCATACCCTTAAAAGAATATTCTAATCCTGTATTTACTTGTATGCTGGCTATAGATATGTGTCCATTTTTGCTACATAAACAAAAGAGAATCTGATTTCAGGTTTTAAAAGTGGTTTTATATATACTAAGGGGGGTGGGGGTGGGGAGAAAAAGGTGGTTTTAATCTTCCTGAGCAGAGCCAGTTTGTTATTTCACTAATTTCCACTTTGATAGTCGTGTAAACTGCACTCCTACTGAGTAAATGCTAGGTGTAGGTCTAACTTATTTTTTTGGAAATCATTTCATGAACTGTAGCTGCCTATAGAGCTGGGTTAGCCTGAGTCTAATTGGTTTATTATCCAGGATCAACTTGTAACCAGTGGGGAGAGGTAAGTACCACAAGGTTTGAGTCAGCCCAGTCTAAGGCAGGTGTGTGAAATGCTGGGACAAGTAAACTTCTGGGTCTGCTGGTGTGTTGTCTGTCTTTCAACATTGGAGGAGCTGAAGCACCTAATTCAGACTAAATATTACTAGTAACTTCGAGTTGCGAAAGTTAAGTGAAATAAATAAATATCTGGTTTTTTTCTCCTCTATGGTCAGGACAGTAGATAAATACTGTGAAATAAAAACTCTAGAAACCGTGCAGTGCTTATTTCAGTGACTGAGACTTATTACTGTTTTCGTCTCTCCCACCACTGTAAAGTCTGAACACCTGTATATCTTAGCTTTAAACATGGACAAATACTCACAGAATGTTAAGAAAATAGAGAAAAGGTGATTCCTTGGGGCTGGTTCAGCTTTAACCAATTTTAATGCATATAATTCAGTATGCCTCTTTTCAAAAACTTAGAAAACCATTCTTGTTTTGGTAGGGGATTTTTTTTTGTGCGTTTGGTTTTGTGGTTTTTGGTGGATTTTTTGTGATTTGTGGTTTGGGGTTTTTTTTGTCTTAGGTAAGTCTAAGTAGAATATTCTATAGGGAAATGCTGCTTCAGATTGTATGTTATTGTCAGAGACGAGGGAATGTTTTGGGAGGCTGAATCAAAGAAAATCCAGTAATTTCTTTTTTCTTCTAAATTTTAGCTTCTTTTTTTTTTAAATAAATACTCTCACACACCCATCCAACCTGGCTTTGAACATTTCCAGGGACATCCACTTATCTGGGCAACCTGTTCCAGTGCCTCACCACCCTCACAATAAAGAACTTCTTAATATCTAATCTAAATGTACCCTCTTTCAGTTTAAAGCCGTTACCTCTCATCCTATCACTACATGACCTTGTAAACTCATATTTAAGCCATGGCTTTATTTTTCTTTTTGCTTTTATTTCTGTCTTCTTTGAAAGGGTTAGATCCAGCAAAACTCTGCCACTTTTAAGCGAAGTGATGCTGGCTGTGGTTGTTGATGCTCAGAACATGACTGATGGTGCTTAGCTTCAAGCAGAATCAGCTCCCCTGCATGTGCTAAATCTCCTCACAGACTATTTAATCTGCAAACAGAGCTGTTATCTTTCAACAGGAGTTTTCTCTAGATTCCATTTCTAAAAGCAACTGCAAGAACAGATAAGAAATGATAGAGTGAAATAAGAAATGGAAAAAGAAAGAAAGGAGAATAAAAAATGGGATATGTTATAGAAGAACAGATAAATATTTGAAAGAGAATAGTTATAAAATATTTAAAATTACATTTTTATTCTTCTAAGCCTTACAATCACAGGGATCTTTTATATTTCTGTTATTTTAATATATAAATTAATACATACAGGGGCTTCAAATGACCTGATGATCTTGCTACTTCAGTCAGTATTTATCGTGAAGAGCATGCAAGCTAGACAATTAATCCATCAGCAAAGGTAGTATTTCAAAAATCAATATGTTCTTGATGTATTTTATTTTGTTGTTTTTTTTTTTTTATTTAAGGCATCTTTACTTAGGTAGAGTTCTCATTTTGCCTTTTTTAGAACTGTTGATTGTGAAACCAAATCTGTTGCTTTCCCTTTTCCCAAGTTCAGTGCTGGAGGCAGAGGGATGTCTAGTGATAGACAGACTGCTGTTCTCACTCAGTCCCGTTCACTGCACAGGATTAAAACCACAGTATATTGCATGTAAATGCTTGTTAGAAGTAATGTGAATGCCTGAATCAAGCTGTGATTTCTCAGCCTGATGAGGAGCCTGTTGCAAAAAAGGGGCAATAGCAGAGTTATGGAATTGAACAGTCTGCTAGGAGCAACTTTCCTGACACTTTCCAGTCTTGGGAAAAAATAATTTCTTGGTTCGTTGCCAGTCTTGTTTGTCGGCAGTCCTATCCTGAAGTTGGGATATAATATGAACATTATTTACTTTCCTGACGAAAGCTTAATGGTCCAGACTATGAAGAAAAAAATGCAAGCTTTGTACTATGTTATCAGAAAAAATAGTTTGTTGATTGGTTCTCTTTCTTTTTATTTCTCTATTTGTAAAGTGATTTTTATAAAATTTGTGGGTTTATGTGCAGTGTTTAACTGCACTGTTTAACTGTTAACATGAAGTAGCTGTATTTTTGTCTTTTGTGTAATGTGTTTGTTGTTTACAATATACCATCGTTTTTGCTACCATTTACGTTACATTGTAAGTAAAAATCTATTCTTCATAAAACTGCAACCTTGTTAGATATTTTGATGGATGATGCTTTGCATCATGGCAGAAGAGGCTAAGCGCCTGACCTGCTGGCCATTGTTCTCAGTACTCTGTCAACACAGTCCCTTATGACATTCTGTTCAGAATCTGTCTTCTGATTTAATAATAGAAGAATTTTGTTAATATGTATTCTGTTCCCTGAGGAAGCAAATTATGCAATGATTAATAGCCTCAAACATCTATAAATGTTTACTCTGAGTATTTTGCATTGCTTTGCAAAGAGTAAGTTCCACAATATTTTTCTAACATACGTTGTGTTAGGTTTTTTCTACTTATCTGTTGTATTTGAGTTCTTCCTGCTATGTTGTTTACATGTGACTAAAATGAATCACCTAACATTATGCGTCACCAAAACCTTTTGCATTAGGCTTTGAATATGTCCACACAGAAGATGATGGTGACTGCCCTTTGCGTGGGCATGCACAACTTCAGTTTGATCTCATTAGCTCCCTTGCCAGCAGAAGTGCAAGTGCAGCAAATTCTTTGTGATCCAAGAATGCATTGATCCCAAGCACACCTCTGGAGCTACCTTGTCTTTGGTAACCTGTCTGGCTTAGATTAAAGTTGTCTGGACCATGCTATTACTTGAAACATCTCAAAATAATATTCCTGAAAACAGTTTTTTTTATAGTACCCAGACTGAAAGAAACATAACTTGAGAGAAAAGGAACATCTGTATAAACATCACCTTTGTATTATAAAAATACTGTATCAATGTTGAGATGTATGTGGCAGACAATCCATTCGGATGTTAACCTTAGCAGCACATGGGATGCTTACACAGTATAAATTAACAGCTCAGAAACTTTCTCTTGCATTTCACTACAAATTTGTTTGTTTGCTTGTTCATTTATGAGTATCAAGCATAGAGGTTTTATTCTTGTCTTTGTGTTTCAGACCGGGAAGTAAAATGTGTGGCTCCAAAACAGGGAACTAGGTACCCTAGAAGTTTAGTACTTGGGTCCTGCATATGCCATCAAGATCATACGTTTAGGTTTTCACTGTGCTGGATTAGGGATCTAGGAAGAGGCCTGGCAATGTTCATCATTTTAGCTAATCTTAGGTAGTTAGAAATTCAGAACAAATAATTGTAAAGTGATGCTTATGAGGGGAAAAAAAAGCTAACTTCATAAATGACCCTTGACCTACTGGCCATTACTGCTGAAGGGTTATGGTGGATAGTTCTATGAAAGATTCAGTTACATCTACAGGAGTGGTCCTGTAGAATTAGAAATGTAGGACTTATTAGGAAAATAATAGAAAACTAAACATGACAACATCACTGGGCAATTGCAACATTTCACAAGGCAGTTTTACATTGAGTACTGTGTACTGTCATGGTCTCTTTCTCCCAGAAACAGTGCAGGAGAACTTGGAATTGTTCAGAGAAAGGCACCAAGGATAATCCAAGGTTGTTAAGCTTCTCAATATATTTTCATTTCCTAATGTTATCATAGTGTCTACAACAGGATGATAGATCAAAATGTTAAAGCTAGGAAGGAGGTTATTTTTTAACTGGTGCTATGACACATTAATTTTATGATAGGAATCCTTCTTCATGTGTTGTCTAGATAAAGCTGACAATAAACAACTTCTGCAGTAGCTTCTCAAATGAAGTATTTGCAATTTCAGGTGCTGTGCATCAATTGCTTTATGCTAAACATGTTATCACAGCCCTATCCCGATCACATGTTTCTTTTCATCTTTTTCAGAAAGAAAAGTACGTTCCTCTTTTTTTTATCTGTGGGAAGAAGGTCTCCAAGAACCTTGCATATTTCACCAATAAATCTTCATTTTATTAACTGGGCTTACAAAAAGTGTTTCCTAGGAGATTTTGAGCCATCTCTCAGTTAGAGAGAGGGATGTTTCAGCTGGGTGGTGGTAGTGGTGGTGGTGTGTGCTTTTAATAAGCCTGGTTTTACTTTTAGCTGTAAATTTGCTGTGAAAAGAGCAAGCATCCAAAGAGCACATTGTTAGCAGAACACCTCAGGGGCAGGGAATATGTGATTTTCTACTTAATAGAAGCACCAGCAGGCAGAATGCTCAATCTCGTTTTGTTTTGTTAGTTTGTTTTTTCTACTCCTATAGGTTTTTCATCAGACATAAGAAATGCAATAAGCAGTTATTAACAAATACTACTTTAATTGTTTATTTTAATGTTCTGAAATAGATATTTCAGACAAATAATACTTTTATCCCCAAGAAATTTAAAAATTTGAATGAATATGTGTTATAGTGGAGGTTGCAAAATGCTTTTTTTAACTCTGGTTTACATTCTTGTAATGACTAACCATAAAATTATAATAAACTGCTATGGTCCTGTGCACAAGCACTTTCTGAACATTTGTTTTGCCTAGAGCCAAGTCCCAGCACAAAAGAAAAAAAAGGCAGTAACAAAAAACACTTTTAAGTATACTGTGTTTTCAGTACAAGTTTTTTAGAAAGATATCTGCATGAACCACTGGAAATCATTGGCCAGCTAAAACATGGACCACCTGAAACATAAGTTTGAAGTGCAAAATAAGCTTCTGACAGAAATATTCTAATCTTCACTGTAGGTATTTTATTTCAGTTTATTCAGTAAGGTCTATTTAGTGATTTTTTTTCCCTAAAAATTAAGAAATGGTCTGAAATTGGAAAAGCCTGAAAGTTGGTCATATTTTTAATTTACAGTTTATGGTTAAAATACAAGAGAAGTACTGCTTACTAGTTCTAAAATTTTTAAGACTGGGCTAACCAAAGTCAATGTATTTAAATTGCAAAATGAAGATATTTGTTTTTGAAATAATTTTATTTATTTAATACTTTAAATTTAGGTAGATTTTTCTTTTCACTTCTCTAGTGCATTTAAGTGTTTAGATTAAATAATATGAGTGAGAATCATTCCACCTAACATTAGTTGTTGAATTCCAAGCAAAAAGTTTGTCTTCCCATTTTAGTCAGAGGGAGAAGATAGCCATTACAGAGGACAAATCACCTCATCATTAAAAAGAGGAATCACATTATGAAGTTGCCTCTTATCTCCACTGAGTGCAAACAGAACCTACGTTGCCTGCAGAGACTGGGTGCTTAACTTTATATGGGTGAAGTTAAGTGAGATTACTCCCTTACTAAATTAGTTTAATATTTTCTTTTCTGTTTAGCTTAAACTGAAATACAATCTTCTGTTTGTATCCATAGACCTAGATAAAGAATAACCATTAACTTGTCAGTAAGAAATACTCCATTCACTATTTTCATACTTAATAAAACATAAAAATTAAGGATTTGAATAAATTTTACTAAGTGACACAATTATGTTGGCCGCTGTTTTTAGGTATGTTTGGTCTAATGTTTCCTGGTTGCAGTAAGAGAGGAAAAATTACCAGCCATAAAGACTCATCCTTTCTTTAAAGAAAAAGCTGTACAAAATGAAAAACGAGATTAAACTTGAAGATTTAAGTGAAGCTCTTCTGCTGACTCATTTAAGTCCTGATTAAATTTGGTGATTCCAATCATTTTGATTTAGTTCTGTGCACTCTTACGTACAGTGAATTGTCCCATTAATTTTAATGAGTCTATTTTATGTGCAAAACCAAACACCTGCTCACGTCTTTGCAGAGAGTAGACATTGCAGCATAAGGTTTCTACTTTAATTGTTAGCTAGTCTTGGTTTTACTATTAATTTATAGTATCATATTTTCCTTAAAGAGGTAGCACATATATTAACTGCTTCCTCTACAAGTTTTATGTCAGTAGTGAGATTGTTGAAGTCTTTTTTCTCTGAATGACTGAAGTGAGTCACACAAATATTTTGCTTGGTTCCTTCAGAAGCTGGTCTGTGAACTAGGCAAAGCTTAAGGAAAGATGAAAGTAAAGAAGTAGAGTATCTTTGCTTCTATAAAACCACTTCTTTGACTTCTAAGCTTGTTAACAGGGAGAGATATTTATTTATTTATTTATATTTAACATCTATCATTTCAGTACCAAAAGTGCCAGTACAAAATGGCTGTGGAAATTTAGGTTCATGCTAGGACTGGAAGCCAGATTAATTGACAGGTTATTTGTACTCTATTTCTGATTCAAATAAATTCAGTAATGTAGTACATTTTGTAAGATTTACCACTGGAAAAGGTCAAAGGACTAAATCGATGACAGCTGACAGAACTGTACATATTGTCAATATGCTTGCTAGTACTCCTAGCAAACCTGTTAAACTTGGAAGTAAAAATTAATCTACTGATAATGTCGAGTCTTTAAAGAAGCATTCAACAAATGCACTCACTTGTGGCTTTGTACTGAAATATTTAAATTTAGCCTTTTCATTATTCCTCTGAAAGTAGCAGCTATGCAAGTGTAGAAGAGAGAAAAGATCACTTTATCAGAGGTCCAGACATCTGGTAGGCAAACATGTAATAGTATTCCCAAAACCTCATGTTCAAAAAGTAGGTCAGGAGAAGAAAAATAAGAATTCAGAAGAACCGTCATGATTTACTGTATAAGTAAAAAGTAAATGAAAAACATCAGCTAAGTTTTGGCTCTATACGCTTCCATTATTAGGCTGAGAAAGACTGCAGGACGTGTGCATTCAGTATGTCAGCATGACTTTATCAGGAAAAAGCAAAAGCACCTTTATCTCTTAAACTGATGCAAAAGGGATGTTTTTTACTAAAGACAAACAGGACTTCACAAACTTGCTGATATCTTGGTGTGGCACCTGGCATTCTAAAGGTTAGAAAAAGTAGCTTGGGCTGTCAGGACTTTGAAGAGGAATATTTTTTAATGTAATGGAGATTTACTTTGATTTGATTTCTGAAGCTGTAATTTTTTTATCATGCATCGTGAGCAACCATTCTGAAAACAGATCTAACACAAGTTGATAATGTTTAGTTTTCAGTCCACCCATGTGAATGAATAGGTCTTAGCTCTTGGTTCCAAAGGCGGCAGCAGCAGCTGATGTAAGGAGCTATATTTTTGACACCCAGCTCTGGTTTGTGTTTGCTGCAGGAAGAAGTTATTCCCCTGCCTTACCACCCCTTGGAGAGTTCAGGTCATGCAGCAGTGCTCTGTCCTTCTTATTTTTACTTAGTAACAGCACTTCAAATGATTGAAAGAGAGAGGGGAGGGAAATATTCTTCTTCTTTATTTTCATATAAATCCCTCCAACACTCAGTAAAACCAGTATGATGTTTAGAGAACATGTTGAAGTGTGGAAATATCTTTAATCATTAGTGTTGTGGGATAGACTACAACGCATCCTACCACAGCACTCCCGCATGAGGAGCTACATCACCACTCCTATGTGTTAGTAAAGGTTGTGATTTCACTGGACATTTCTGTTCACCTTTACGCCTACCTTGCAACATTCTAAGCCTTGTTAGAGAACATAAGAATTTCCTGCTAGTTAATCTCCAGCAGTTATAATCCAAGTACACATATATATTTGTGTACGTGCCTTTGAAATGCAAATCTGTTCCATGGTTTTTAGAGTCCAGACGTTATTTTATGTGACCACCATTTAATCAGTATCATGCTTGAGCCTCACTGAAGTTGGCAGAGTTACAGATGTTATTTTATGTGACCTGCATTTAGTCGCAGATGCTCTGTGAGTCTTGTTAAATATGGTAGGATCACAGAGATTCTATTTTAACATTGTCTAACATAGTAACAAGAAACCTTTTGCTAGTGAGATGTATACTTACATTTCCTCATTTCCTTCATTTAACTAAATTAGTTTATCCTGGAAACATCAAGGAAAGGATTCCCTGTCCAACTCCTCCTATTTCAAAAATTAGTATGAAAACATTTTACTTTCAGAGCTAATCTAGAGCAAACATTCTCTCTCCCTGCCTGTCTACTTCTCCCTTTTCGTCTCCCTTCCACCCTCTCTCTCTCTTCCCTTCTCCCTTTCTCATCTTCTCCTCTTCTACATGGCTGAAATCTAAGAAACATCTGTTATATAAAATATTTTTTACCAAACTCTTCAGAAAATACAGAAGTATTTTTAATAGTTTATTTTTTTTCTTATATTTTGTTGATTATTTTACAGATATTTATTTTAACCAGGTATTTATTTTAGTTCATGATGGCCAAAAAAACCAGGATTTTCTCTTAAAACAAGCCTTGTTACTCACCCATACTTAAATGACTTGAGGATTGCAATCGAAGGTTATATTTATGTTATACTATACTGCTGAAGCTGTCGACAGCAAGATTCACTGAGGTTTTTTACAATTCTCTGTCACAGGTCAAGTTCAATATTATCTTTATCGTGCTACAAAGGTTTACACCAAGGCTACACTCCATGAACAAAGTAATTTAATAAGTTCAGTAAATCCTAGGGCTATGCTTACACTTGAGGAGTGTGAATCCTTGGTGGTATGGAGGACCTTTCACATGTTGGGCTCCTAAGTAGCTAATGTAACTCTGGTGAGTAGCTGTCCGTGACAAATTTTGATAAAGTTAGCCTCTCTTCTTAGTTCAGAAAAGCTTGCTGCCTTGTTTCTTACTCCTCAAACCAAATGTTTTTAGAGTGATGTGGAACAACAATATGTACTGCAAAATCAGAAAGTGTTGCTTATCTGTATTTGATCAGAGAAATTGTATGACATTTAATAAGATCTGTGCCCTGGTTTATACTCCTTGTAAAATGAAATTGGGATACTTAATATTTCCATTCTAAGTATGCAATGGATAAATATGGATAAATATTGTGTCAACCATACTTTGCAAATATTTTAACATCACTGGTCTGCATTTTTTTAGCACAAAGAAAGATGGCTTGAATTTTCGAGTATATTTCACATTCATGCACTGTTACACGTTTTTAAGTCTTATTAGGAGAAAAAAGATTTTGTTTTTAAGGGCATAATGATGAGCACATCTTTAGTCTTTGGTCATGGAGTGTTTTTTGCTGACAGTAATGGTTTCTTTTTCCCCATACACATTTTTTACACTGCTGGGGTTGTGGGGGGACGGAAATAGATAGAGGCATGTTTCCAAGGCCTTCTGTAATAATTAATCTTATTTATTCTTTTTAGTATTTTTCTTCATGTTCATTATTTGACTTTACATACTTTACAGCTAATAAAAGCTTGCTAAAACTTCACCTAGGTGTACACAGAGTGTGTTCTCATGTAGAATGTTGTTGAGAGTGGGAGTGTTCATCACCTCTCTACAGCCTGAGGTGCTTTGCAGTGGGTGTGCACCTGTGTGTGCACATGAGCATATCTGCTATATAACTAATATCTGAGAAATTAGAATTACAATGGCCCTTCCTAAAATGGGAATAAGTTTTAAAATTAGGAGAGATCTTTTAAGGCAATTTCTTGCCTTTATTAATATATAAACTGCTTCAGAGTTGAGAAGAGCTTGGAGATTAAGTTGCTTAATCCTATGCAGGTTTTTTTCACATTAATCCATTGCCTCATTTTGTCTTAATTGCCTCATAATTGTCACACCTTACACCTGTACTCTCCTTTAGGAGGGGCTTTTTATTCCAGTTGGACACAAAAAAATCTTTCCTATTTTTGTGAAAAAGTTATAGAAGAAGATCGGTAATTCTTTTTTTAAGCTTCTTGGTTTTTTTTCACCTGGAACACTCAGGTTTAAGTTCCAAAAAAGTTTCCAGTGTGGCTTGTTGAAGGCATCAGGAGGACCCCATGCCAAGAAGCACTTTTGTTCCTTGGTGTGTAAAATGAAGCAGAGGTCTACAAACACTAAAAAAAATAGTGAGAAGGGGGAATAGGTGACAAGGAGCGAAAGAGAAGAAACGGAAAATAAAGAATAGGCTGCAAAAGAGGGAGGAAGGTGGATGAAAAGAAAACATTGTAGAAGTTACGCTAAATAAATGACAGAGGTCGGCATCCATCTATCCATCTGCCATGGTCAGAGGCTTCAGTGGAGGATGAGACCAGTTAGGTGTTTATATTTGAGGATGAATGAATTCAAATCACAGCCATACCAAGTCCTTCTCTGAGAGAGGAAAGGTACCTCTGTGCGTATCTGTGTTTCCATGATTTAATCATATGTATTTCATATGTCTTGGATCTGCAGTTCGATGCCAGCAACAAAGAGTCATTATTTTTAATGATGCTTTTTATGAGATTTAATTAAATTTATCAAAAAGAAAAATTCATAAATTGGTTATATTTGTATGTAGCAAGTCAGCAATGGCAAAATCAGCATAGACATATAGACTCTCAGTGAGTGAAGCAACAGAAGGACAGTAAGATCAACCCTGTCAAGAATACAAAATAAGTCTTTCTATCCTAATTTTATATTAAAATGGGGACTTTCCTTTTGATATATTCTTCTACTCTTATATTTGATATACTGCCATCATTCTCAACTGCACTCTCAGAGAAGACAGTGTTCACCTTTACTTTTAAGCAAAGTGAATTAAATAAAAGAAATATCTTTTTTTTTCCTGTTGTAATATCACTGCTATTTAGTATTACTTTATCTGCTTGATGTTATTCGGCAGGACCAGTTGGAGCTGCAGACAAAGCTGTTAGGAAGAACGCAGGAAAGCACAGAACAGTTTCAAACGTGAAATGTCTCAAAGAGAAAAGTGAGGCCCTGTGAGAGTAGAGGGAGTGCTAATAACAGGGAAATGTCATCCTCCATCCAGGTGAGCTAACAAGATCATAAGGTTTAGGACTGAAAGACAGAGAAAGCTTAAAAGTGTCTCTCAACCCAGGAGAAAAGAGCATCAGCCAAAACTTCTAGAAATGTTTTTCTGACAAATTGCTGAAAAGCTGTTGCAGCAGGGTTATGCTTCTTTGACTCTGATTTTACCTCAGCTTGCAATGAAGGGACAATAGCTAAATAAGAACTTACAGCCTGAATTATTAAATGCATTTCTTGTTTCAGTGGGAGTTAGTGATTCTAAGTACTGAATATTCTAAATATTTCTGAGAGTCTGAACCAAACTACATAGACCAATTACAATTTTAATCCTCATTGAGCAAATAACTAATGCATTATTTTGTTGAAACACTTTCAGTATCTTTAAAAATGTGTTCCAGAGAGAAGAGGTTTTCTTTAAGTGGAGTACCTAAGGGGTCTTCTTTTCTAGAGTACTGAACAGGAATTTTTCCTGATCCAAGCCAAGAAGAGCCAGATCATAATGGATCTTGCCTCAGAGCAAGGCAAAAGAGTCCAAGCCTGCCAGCTGAGATAGGTGGTAGGGAGAAAGGGAAGGGATCTAAATTAAAATTGTGACATAGTGAACAAGGTGTGTTTTGACTTACATGTGAGTAAACTGCCAAAGGACCATACTGATCATCTCTTGAAAGATATGGACAGTATTTATGGAGAAAGGTCATATCTTGAGAGAGACAGGACAAAAAAGGCAACACTTACTAGAAGAACCCATCACTTGAGTTCTTGATTTCAGCTGTTCAATGTGTAAGAAGCCTGTTCATGAATATTAAAAATCTTCAGTGTCCCAAATGTTTTTTAGCTCAGTTTAATAGCTTAAGCACAGTGTTCAGCAATCATCAAAAATAAGAGCACTGCACTTTCTTTGGGATACGTTAGGTGAGACAAACCTGTCAGCATGGCCAGTTTCCTGTGTCAGCCCTGCTAATCTAATAGTGCTTTTGAACACTGGAAGCACAATTTGTGTTTTCTTTGCTTTGGCTTAGTGCCAGTCATCTGAAGAATGTGCTTTGCTCTTTTAAGTGTATTAAACTATGCTTGTAGAGTGAGTTATGTTGATAGCTTGTTTTCTTGGAGGGGAAGACAGCAATAAAAACGATTTGTGACCTTTTCTTTTAAAAGATGGACTTCAGGCATCCAAGAAATCAGGATTTGTCCAACATGAGGCCCTTTCACTTGCTCACTTGCTATTATCCTTTTCACTGTCTCGTTTTTTTGTTTTGTCCCTTTTTTACAGTCATTCTGAGGGTGATGTGTAAAAAAAAGGAAAAATCTGAAAAATACGGTAAGGATGTCTGAATCACTTCATATTCTTATAAACTGATCCGTGGGACTTGTGTGAAGGAGAGAAAAGCTGTTAATATATGTAGAATTAATTCTGATGAATTATTTAACATGTAGGAATATAGTGTATAATCTCTTTGAATAATCCTTCCATTTTAAAGCCTTCGGTTCTTTTGGGATTGAACAATGCTGGCTGATAGTACTGAGAGTTGTAATACATTCTGATATATCCTGTCTCATTTTAGTACAGGTAAATTAAAAGTAAATTTAATTCTAATTAGCCAGATGGATTGCTCGAAGGGCTAGGTCTGTGAGGTAAAATACAAGCTTTTAATTTCTTGTGATCTGAAATTGGGGTTATCTATGATTGATTATTTGAACATCTGAAAAATTAAGAAAGTCTTAAGCAAATGAAATGGAAAGCCTGAGAAATGATGGTAGCTTGCATCCAGAGTCATTATAAGACTGCTGTTCACCACAGTGTGTTATGACATTTAAACAAAGATGTGGTTTTCCTTATGTATTCTGAGCAAAAAAGTCAGTAAGTGCCAGAGCTTTCTGAGCCTGATATATGGGTTCCTTGGAAAAATCTATGATGTATGATAGTCACTTGTTTGACTTTTTTCTTACTTGACTTAACTTGAAAACATGGCAGTGCCATCTCATTGGGATACAAAGTCCAGTTTGGTTTCTGAATAAACCAGAAAGCTCAGAACAGAAACCTATTAGGATATATTAGGTTTCGGCTCCAGTTAATCTGCCATAGTTCATGAAGGAAATTTCAGCAGGGTCACAGAAATAAATATGATCCAATGGTGCTATGATTGTAAAATGTGGTATTTCGGGCACTTCAGGTGAATGAAAACTAATTACATTATGCAGAGAACAGGTACGACTTTTTTTTTTCCTGCAGTGCTGCATGGAGCTTGGTCTTCCATCTTCTGGAGGGATTAACTAAAACTGGAATAGGCACTGAAGGAAGAGCAAAATTAAATACAGAGCTGTCAAAAACTAAAAAGACTAAGAGGTCTTGGCTTGTTTAGCATTCCAAAATGGAAGCTGAGCTGGTTGATTTCATGCATGATTAGCAGGGTAAATAACACAGAGGAGAATATCTATTTAAACTATAGGATAATACTGGCACAAGAACAAATACGTGCATACTACTTATGAATACGTCTAAGTCAGAATTTAGGAGAAATATATAAGATGTTCTTGGATAGCTTTCTGCTAGGTTAGTAAGACCAAGCTACTGTGTGACTACCAGTATGATCAATTTATGAAGGAGCTTGTGAATTATGGAGGTATTAAGTTTTCTACATAGAGTGAACAAGATAAAGAGACAGAATTATACCTTTGGGTCATCTTATTTTTTTTTTTTATGCGCTCAACTGGATATATGAGTCTTGAGATGTTTTCTGTAAGAGGTTGCTGATCTATCAAAATTACCACAGGTTTACTTGAGGACTAAACTCTCCTTTATTTATACTCTGATCTCATGTACACTTTAAATCCACCCTTCTCTTCCTATTCCATGCCTCTTTTTATGGTCTCCAAGTGCCTTTCAGAAACATGTTGATTAGTATAACTATAATGTATTGTACAAATTATTCATTTTCTCTTTCTTTCTCATAGTCTTCAGGAGAAAGTGTTGTGCCACACACACACATAGGCAGAGGCACACAAACATGTATGGGAAGGCATGCTGAAAAAATGGACTTTATCATAGCATGTGTGGGTGAGGTCTTGGGATTAAGCAGATTTTCATCCTGTATTCTTTTACAGATATCTGTGTTCTGGTCAAATTATAGGAGAAACGAATGTGGAGCATCCTGACTGAGTTCCTCAAGCCTGTGCCTGAGGAAAAGTTTTAGATACTCCAGAGATCACTAAGGGTCATGTTTTCAAAGGCAGATGTGTCAGAGGAAGGAAGCAGGCATACTGAGACTTTCAGAAGCATTTTTGTAAGTCTTTTATTTTGATCAGCTGGAATTGAGCACTGAAAATTGAACCAGTGATCTGCCTCATTTGATGTGTACCTAACTTGGCAAATTTCTTACTGAGATCCTTAAAGACAAAAAATAAAATCAGTCTGACATGATATTTTATAAGGAATCAGCATCATGAAAAGTTTAGTGCTTATAAACTTCTGAATGGTTGGGGTTTTTTAAATTATGTTAACATATATACTATATGTCTACATATAGTTTAGGTTGATATTGCTTGTTGATGTAACTGTAGTCTAAAGGAAGGTGTTTACAGCAACCCATACTGTGGAGAAAATGCAGTATTTGTGTTGATAACAGCTGTAATCCCTTGAGAGTGCGTCGTTTCATGTTTCTGGTGTAAAGCTGGAATAATAAATATATATGTTGCTAAGTCCAAAAGATTATTTGTCAAGATGGAGAACAGTGTGCCAGACAGCTTTAGTGGTAGGATGTGTGGCTTCCAAAAGGCAGTACAGAAAAACATGGTACATTAAGAGACAGGTGTTTGCTTAAATTTCACTCCAAGTCAACCATTTTTTTAATAGATAGTGATAACACTTATAAACAAATGTCAGGAGAGCAAACTGATTGTGAGGACATAATTTCAGGCTATTGCAACTGAATCTGTGAATCCTGTTTTCTGTACATTTAGGGCATGTATTCCACAGTCATGTGTAGTTTAGGGTAGCAGACTTAGAATTAATTTTCTCAAAGGCAGATTGTAACAAACACCGCAGTCCTAGAAAAAATCCGAGTACTAGTCAACTGCAATAAAAACACCATTGTGACAAAGATTTAATAATGTACAAGGCTTCATGGAGGATTCTAACTCCTCTGTAATGTTCAAAGTAGCTACTACAGCTGGCAGTGACTTCAGCCTGAGCTCAGACATCTGCATGTCTGACTGCAGTGGCATTGCATATCTTCTGGGAGTGTGAAAGGTTAGGCTTAGAGAGAGAGTAAGTGCCTGTACTTAGAGTAGTAATTTGGATAGCACAAGGGAGATACAATACTCAATTAACTGAGGGGTAGTGTAGAAAAAAATGGTACCTGACTTTCTAAAATATGAATCATTCTGTCTAAATCTGACCAGTGACAGCATAAGCTGCCGTGATGGTGTTTCATTAACTGTCCATTTATTGGTTTTATATTTAATGTATGGTCTTTATAACTGCAGTTGTTTCAATTGGGCTTGTCAAAACTTACACTACAATCGATACTAATTGTCACCCTTTTTTAGCTTGTTCTGTTAAGTTGCCAAAAATCAAATGGATGTAAGTTGAATTATCTTCCGCTTCTGAAACTGTGATCTCTAATTCAAGATATTTTGATAGGTTAACATGTTTTTCTGCTGCTCCTCACTTAAATAAAGAGTACTTCAATTTCTAATGCTGTCAAACTAGAAATACCCCTCCACTGAAATTTGGAGAAAACAATTTAAAATAGTCAAAAAAAGGCAAAAGTGTCAAGAGATGAAAATCTGCTAGATGTGAGGTTCCTTCTCACACAATATTTTGGGTCCTGTTTTTAAAAAGTAGAATGAAGCAAAGCCAGGCAGGTTATCATATTTTCTTTAAAGTGAAATTCTGTGAATCTGCTGAATAAAATGCTGTTTGGGCAAGGCTTAACAATCATGTGCTAAGTCAATTCAGAAAAAAAAAGTGATAATTGAAAGTTTGGTTGTTTAAACACTGATGGTGTTTAAACAGCATTAAAGCCTGACTCAAAACATGAAATAAGTGAAAGTATTAGTTTTTTCTAAGAAAAAACCCCAAACCAAACCAAAACTAAAAACAAGCACCCCACACATATCTTCCATTCAGCTCAGTATAACATCTTTGAAGAAAGACCAATTACATAGTTTTACCAAAGTGGTACAAAAGCACTGACAAATTAGTTCCCAAAATGTCTGTTCCTCCTCATCTTTCCAAAGATGTTTAATAGATAATGTCTTGTGACTGTCAAGTAGTTAATATATTTGCTTCATTAGGTTAGAACAACACATGGAAGATAAATTCAGCTCTTATTAAATTAATTGAAAATTCTCATTAACAAAATCAGTGTATGGTACTTCAGAGTAAATTGTCAATGGAGCAGCAGTTGTAGATTCAAATTTGTGCCTGTAAATTACACACAGATTTGAATCTATTTTTTAATTTAAAGAATCCCTCGAAAATCCAAGAGGATAGATATATCTATTATAGCTTTCCAGCTCTAGAAGATCATTGCTACTGGATCCACTATACCAGTCAGGTAATGTTCTGGTTAACTGAAGAAACAGAACAGCCTCATATGTTCTGATCCTGAAAAGCAACAAGATATAGCTAAAATACTGAACCACTGTGTATGTAATCATTTTTAAGCATTGTTATCTTACTGCTTTTGTGTCCATTGTACACTAGTTAATCACTCCAAGGAAATGTCCCACCATTGCAATAAATACCTCTTCAAACATTTCATCTTTCTTCCACCACAGTCAGCAGCTATTTTGAGGCTTGAAATAAGCTTTTGTCTTCAATTGTATGTCTGCTAATGTCAATAACAAAATTACTGCTGACCTCATAGAAGGTAAAACAAGGTCCTTAATACTTCCCAAAAGCTGGATTCTTGTTGCAGCAGTCCCAGATGTTATTTTATTTCTGTTTTATTGTGTTACAAGAGATAAGTGTTAAGACAGATGTCACTGCAGGGTGCAGATACATATGCACTTCCAAATTCTTTTCCATTATGTGCTGGGAAGTACAGGCTGCAGCGTTTGTTTCATTACACTTGGCAGAAATAATGGCACTTGGAGAGAAAGTTACATGACCAGTGCTAGAGCCTGCTTTTGGCATTGGCCTTTCACCAGAGCCTGATTTAGAAGGAGAATTTCTCCTGAAGAATGGTCTACTTCTCTTGAGATGAAAGACAGTGTCATGCTGTCTCCCTTTGGTTTCAGTCAGATGCACTTAGAATATTTTTAAGGAGTAGCAGCTGTTCGCAGCAGCATTAATCTGGCAAATTAGTGCCTGGGTTAGACTAGTCTAGGTATGAAAATCCTTTATAAAAAGCTGTCTAAGAGCTGTTTTGTTCAAGTTGGCATTGTATTCTCTCTTGTGAACCAGTGAGGTGTCTAAGGGAATATGTCACACGGTTCTCAGAGCTGCATTTGACTGCACACCTTTGGTTTAATTACTTCCTAAAAGTGAAAGAGATACTCTATTCTTTTTACACCCTAGCAGATGTAAGTTTAACCCACCAGTACAGGCAAGACATTTCCTTCAGTGTGCAGTGCTCTAGATATCTATCTGCAGCCTATCTTCCCACCAGTAAAGAGAGTGTCTGTATTGACTGCCTATTATCTTCTGCCTCCTACAGATACTGTAAGTTGTTCTTTGAAAAGTTGTAATCATATGTGTACAAGTTACAGTTTGATGGCAGAATCATAAACTTTGTGTGTGAAAGCCAAAAAGCCTGTTAGACACCAGCAATTACACTGTCATTTCTGGGATCACAGCATGCTGAGATGATAAAGGGCAAAAGCAGCAAAATAAAACATTGAAATAACCAGAAAGTGTACCTTTGGTTACTCAGGCATGGTCCAGAAGATCCAAAAATGGGTTGCATACCTATATCTTTAGTGTGAAGAAACCTGTATCAAGCATGTGGTTGTGACCATGGATATGGAGCACAGCCCTGGTGTGCTGTACAAATTTACATTTGAGACATGCAGTTCCACATGTTCTTTTTTGAGACTTTATTAAACCCTTTGGTTTGAAATTTCTTTGTTCTGTCTCAAACATTTCTCTCAGAGACTGAATAGAAAAGTTCTATATTAATAGTCAAAATAATAGGCAGCGCAGAGAACATAAAGCCTGTACAATGTGATGCTCTGATTTGTGACCTGGTGCTGGTGTTGCAGTTAGTACTCACCATGTCAGAACAGGGCTCAAGGGATTGCCCGGCACCTCTCCCTGAGCCACAATTGTCCCAGGGCTGCAAGGATTGCTAGCAGCAATGGGAGCCATCCTAACAGGCTGGGTCTTGACCAGGAGAAGCATCTGAAGTTCTGGGTCCCATTGCTTCCTGGCTGCTGCATGCCAGCAGCTGCCTGCAGACCTTATAGTGCCAATGGCAGTTATGCTCCCTCTCACCCCCTGCAGCTCAGGGAGTCTGTTAGTATCTTTCTTTCCCATGTTAAGTATGGTTGTGTTGTAGCCTCTGGTGTCTTTTACTTGCAAAGTCCTTTGACTCCTCAAACCACCTTTATTTTTATGCATAGAGAAGTAATACTTGCATTCTGCAAGTAAGTTATTTTGCTGTATGAGAAAAGAGGAGAGGAAGCAAGAGAGAAGTGTCTTCTTTCTGACTTGCTCAAAAGGAAATTGAGTTCTACCCCTGTAGTCATGAATTCCATCAGTTTCTCCAGCTCTGCTTCTCTTTCTGCTCAGCTTTTTCGGTCAGTAAAAATGTACTAAGTGATATATAAGACAAAAGTACACCTTAAAAATGCAATATTAGTTACTTTGATATATGGCCTGAAGAAGTCAAGGTCCTCTATAATTCATGGTTGTGTTGGCAATAGAAAATGGGAACTTGCTGGGAGATACTGGAGTAAAGACGGTGGTAGAAGGTCATCTGTCTATGCCATCTTGTGTTCTTCATCTTGTGGTATGCAATTACCAGGTATGAGCCAAAGGGGCTCTTGAGCTGCAAGGAAAAAATGAAAAACCTGATTTGCCTGGAAATTTGGTTGCATGTTCAAAGTTCCTGTTTCATCAGATAATCTCTTGCATCATTACCCAGCAATGAACTGAAATTAGGGCCAGGATAAACAGGATGTTAAAATAAAATGCTGCAGCATACCAGCATTACAGATGTCTGCGCAACCCCCACGCCTTGTCTGTCTTGGCAGCTGGACACAGGATCTTTAGGTCCAAGAGTATTCTGAATGTAAGACTGCCTCAGTGGTCTTAGTACCTCATAGCTGTATTGCTTCTGGTAATCACCTATGGCTGATACCAGAGGGAAGGGAAAATATGTTGTGTCTTGTACATGCCTGAATAGTCATGGATGGTATTAATCCCTTCT